AAAAAAATGAAAAGAGTTGCCATCCAGTTGTCTCCAACTCATGGGCAGACCCCATGTACATCATCAGAGTAGAACTGAGCTCCATGGGGGCTATTTTCTAAACGCACTGCCATCGAGTTTATTCGACTCTGATTTTCAGAAATAATCATCAGGCCTTTCTTCTAATGCATTTCTGGGTGGACTTGAACTTCCAATCTTTCAGTAGCAATCCCAGTGTCTATCTGAGAGTTTACAGACTTCATATATCGGAGTATCTCTCAGGCCCTCACTTAGATACTGTTTACTCTTAGCTCACATTCTTGTGAAAAAGTTACTAAAAACAAAATCTACTCCAAATCATGATACCCTGTCCATGAACACAGAAGAGGAAGAAAAATTTTATTATTGAATAAGCATTCAACTAGAATATGATGCATCACAGGCAATCCTCTAGAGATTGCAAAGACAGAAAGGAATCTTAACCCTTATATAGCTAACTGGATATAAACTATTACACTTATGTTTCCAAGATAATACTGTTAGTTTTCTGGCATCATTATGGCAGGAGGTAATTTGCAATTTGGGGCTGGGCTGCCTGAGGTAGTGCTAATTTTTCTGCACATTGGAAGGTAGGGGAGAATCACCTGAAGTTATATTTCCAAGACCGTAGCTGCCAGATCCTTGAGGAGACCTCTTAGATTTAATACTTTTCAAAGAGACAAAGAAGGAATTTACAATTATAAGTGAGAGCTCACTTTAGATAACTTCTAATTGTGAATTCCTTCTTTGTCTCTTTGAAAAGTGCGTAAATCTAGTAGTGCCTAAGGCATTTGACTGCTAACCAGAAGGTTGGCGGTTCAAACCCACCAGCCACTGCAAAGAAGGAGGACTTGGCAATCTACTTCTGTAAAGATTTACCACCTCAGAAACCCAAAGGGGGTTGCTATGAGTCAGAATTCACTCAATGGCAGCGAGTTTGTTTTTTGTTTGATTTAAAGTGAGTTCTAAAAGAAGGGAGGAGGGGAGTGTCTTCCTTTATTTTCAACTGGGAGAATTAAAATCTCTTATTTTCAACTTGTCTTTTTCCTTACAACATACAGTTGTAATAAGCTTCATCATCTGATTCATAAACCCACTGTAGGTTAGAAACAGCACATTAAAAGAGCATCAGGGGGTCCCGTCAGGAGACCCCAGGGACTGCAAAGGGGGTCATTATGAAGATTGTTTTATCCCCAAACTCATGCCTTTCCTTTTACCTGCTACTCCTCTAGGCACACTGCCACATTATAGAATCATGATAACCGTGAGTCATGAAAGGTTAGATAGATATTCTGCACTGATAACCAAAAGATCAGCACTTTGAACACACTAGCCACTCCATTGGAGGGAGACTTGGCAGTCTGCTTTCATAATGATCACAGCCTTGGAAACACTCACTATTTGGAAGTTCTACTTTGTCCTACAGGCTCCCTATCAGTCAGAATTGACTCAACTGCAATAGGTCTTGGTATTTTTGTTTTGGTTTGGTTTTGGTTTAATGTTGCCAGAAGGAGTCTTTGTGGCACAGAGGTTAAGCGCTCAGCTGCTAACCAAAAGGTCGATGGTTTGAACCCACCAGCTGCTCAGCAGGAGAAAGATGTAGCAGTCTTCTTCCATAAATATTTACAATCTCAGAAACACTATGGGGCATTTCTACTCTGACCTATAGGCTTGCTATCAGTCAGAGTTGACAGAGTAGAATAGAATAGAATCTCCTGTTTTTAAAGTTTATATTCTAAAGCATTTGGGTTGTGGTGTTGCGCCCAGATCTTGAATCCCCAAAAACCACCAAGGAGCCGATTCCACTGCAAAAGCATAGGGGTTGTTTATTCAAGCTCGAGCTCAGACCCCCAAACATCACCGACGCAGCGGTTCAGGATTGAGAGCCCCGAACTCAGGGGTAACAGGGTTTTTATAGGGGTTACAGCAGAAATGAGGAAGTTTCAATCAGGAAATTACAGGATTGGTTGACATTTTTCAAGTTGTTAGTTGTTCCTACTTGATTGGCTCTGTCTTGGGGGCCAAAGCCGCAGACTGCCATTTCTAACTATTTTAGGTAAGGTATTTTCTTGCTATTTACTGATTGGTTGTTGCTAGCGAGTATGCTAGGGAGTATCGATGAGGTGGGGGTAGTCAGGACTCCTAGTGGTTTTTCCAGTAACTAAAGCCCTAAAGCCTGACATAAATGCTAAGGCATATTGCAAAATGGCTACATACTTAAAAATGGTTACATACAGGGTGGTTATATAGAAACATGGTCTCACATTCCTCCCTTTCTCTTGGTACTAAACTCAATCATGAGTTTGCTGAGTGTTTTCATACATTTGATTATAATGTATCGTACTAACACCCGAATCGTCTTGGTGGAGTAATTGATATCGTTGTCTGAGGACTATGAGTTGTACAGAGTTTACTCTATCTTTTACAAAGTTGACTAATCTGTTTAAAATACAAGGTCCAACTGTCAGTAAAATTAGTCCTATAATGACTCGTCCTGTGAGAGCAGATAACAGAGATTTTAGCCAAGGAGAATTAAACTAATTTTCATACCATCCCTGGTTTTGGGCACGCTCTCTTTTTCTTTTTTCTAGTCCTTCTCTTACCTTAGCCATGGGGTTTTTTATGACTCCCGAGTGGTCTATATAATAACAACATTCTTCTCCTAGAGCGGCACAGACTCCTCCTTGTTGTTGGAAAATGATATCTATACTTCTTTTTAATTGTAAGGTCATTTCCGCTAAAGAGGTTAGGGATTCTTGGAGTTTGGTAATGGATTCTTCTAGTCTTTATATATCCTGATCAATTGCTGCTCTAAGTGAGTTATATTGCTGATGCTGGGTTACGATAGATGCAATTCCTGTTCCAGCTCCCGCTAGTCCTAGTCCTAATAAAACAGTTAAAGTTACAGCAGAAACTGGTTCCCGTTATTTCACACCCCCACGCTTTACAATAAAAGTCTGGTACCCCCCACACCGGTTTGCTAAGGCTCTGTCTCTTCCTCCCCCTGGGCAAACGTAAAATGGTAACTTACGGAGTTTGTGGTGGAGTCCAGAGTGCCCACAACCTATTCCCCAGCTATTGATTCCCCCAGAAGCACATGAAGCACATGACCGCTGGCATGTGGGTTTGCCTGAACATTCAGGAGTACCGTTTTTGTTGGGTTCCTAATTTAAAATGTCCCAGGATCTGGCTGCCAATTGGCATAAGTCAAAGGATAGATCAGGCCACCAGGTTATAGGAGGTGCAGTATGTGAAATAGAGTTTATAACATCCCCCATGGCCAATGTGATTGTCCAGGTTAACTGTTGGGGTGTGTGTGGGCTAGATGAGGGATTTACATAGTTACCAGTTATCAACAGTAACACTAGTGAGGTCCACATTGCTGAATTTTTAGTTTGAGTGGATTGTTGGGGTCCTTGGAGATGTGCCATTTCTGGTCAGAGACTGGATCAGCTTTGCGGGCCGTGGGTATGATGAATCCAGGAGGCTATTCCGTCGACTTTGAGGGCAGTGGGTGTGGTCAGGATTACAATGTAGGGTCCTTTCCAGCGAGGTTGTAGAATTTCTTGCTGATGTCTCCGTGCATACACCCAATCACCTGGTTGGTACTGGTGAAGTTTGGGGGGGGGACTAGATTGGTTGAGGGCCCTTAAGTTTGGCCAGATGTCTTGCTGGGTTTGTTGCAGGGCTTGAAGAGAAAAAATGAGTTCATGATTATCAATTTCAAGTAACAAATCGGACTGGAATCTGGGAGTGATAGGGGGAGGTCTACTAAAGACAATTTCAAAAGGTGTTAATTCTAATTTATAAAGAGAGTTATGGACCCAAAATAGGGTGAAGGGGAGGAGAGTCGCCCAGTCTCCGTCAGTCTCTATGGTTAATTTGGTTAAGGTCTCTTTTAGAGTTCTGTTCATTTTTTCTACCTGGCCTGAACTTTGGGTTCTGTAAGCACAATGTAATTTCCAATTAGCCCCAAGAATAGTTGCTAAACCCTGTATTTCTTAGATACAAATGCCGGTCCATTATCTGACCCTATCATAGTAGGAAAACTATACCTGGGTAGGATGTCTTCCAGTAGTTTCTTGGCTACAATGTGGGCCATTTCTCGCTTGGTGGGGAAGGCTTCCACCCACCCTGAAAAGGTATCTATAAAGACTAACAAATATTTATATCCATATTTCCCTGGTTTTACCTCCGTGTAGTCCACTTCCCAGCAAGTTCCTGGTTTGCTGCCTCTTGATCTGGAACTTAGATTCGGAGGGTTCTCAGTAACATTGGTTAATTGACAGGCTTTACAGTCAGAAGCAATTATTTCAATTTTAGATTGAGCATTTTTAATTACTATGTCTGCCCGTTTTAGTAATTCCTGCATCTTTTTGGTTCCTAAATGGTTGGTCTGATGTATTTTGAATAAAATTTCTTCTCTCAGTTTTTCAGGGAGGATGGCTTTGTGATCTGCTGATTTCCACCAGTTACATACGTACAGAGTTCCAGGTAGTTGTTTAATCCATTTCAAATCTTCTTCAGTGTAATTGGGGTTTGTAGGTAAGGTGGGGCTCCCAGGATCAGGCAAGTTGGCGGTGAGTACTAGATTAGTAGATAGTGTAATCTCTCGAGCAGTTTGATCCGCTAAATTATTGCCTCGGGCGACAGGGGAGGTGGTTTTTTGGTGTCCCGGACAATAAATGATGGCAAGTTTCTTAGGGAGCCATAGGGCGGCTAGTAGATCTAGGATCTCATTTTTGTTCTTAATTGTCTTTCCTTCCGCGGTTGACAGGCCCCTTTCTCGATAAATTGCCCCATGAATATGTGCCGTGGCAAAAGCGTAATGACTGTCTGTATAAATATTTATCTTTTTGTCTTTTCCCAAAGTTAGGGCTTTGGTCAATGCTATTAGTTCAGCTCATTGAGCTGATGTTCCAGCTGGTAATGGCTCAGCCTAAACTATTGCAGTTTCCGTCACCACTGCCGCCCCCGCATACCTTAGTCCATCACGCACAATGCTGCTCCCATCCGTATACCAAGCAACTTCGGCATCCGGTAAGGGTGTGTCTCCTAGGTCAGTTCGGGTTCCGTGCGCTTGAGCCAGAGTGTCGATGCAATCATGGAGCAGAATGCCCAAACCTGGTAACAGGGTGGCAGAGTTCAGTGCTGTAGGTGACTGGAAAATAATCTTAGCTGGGTTCAGTAACAATCCTTGGTAGTGGGTGAGCCGTGCATTGCTGAGCCATCGATCAGGAGGTTGCTTAAGAGTTCCTTCTATGGTGTGCGGGGTTGTGATGTATACCTCTTGTCCCAGTGTAAGTTTGCCCGCATTTTTGACTAATAAGGCTGTTGCTGCTATTATGTGTAAGCACAGGGGCCACCCTGCCACCACTGGGTCCAATTTTTTGAAAGATAGGCTACCGGTCTTTTCCAGGGGCCTAGGTGTTGGATTACAACTCCTTTCGCTACCCCCTTATTTTCATCAATGTATAGATGGAAGGGTTGTGAGTAAGACTGAATGTTGTGCCCCAGTGTCCACCAGGAAGTCAATTGGGGTCCCCTCCACTTTAAGAGTTCAGGGAGGGGGACCAAACCCCGTCGCCCCTAATCACTGAGTTCCCCCAATTCTAGTACCTTAGTCAGTGGCTTTTGAGTTCTTTTATTTGGGCACTCTTTTGTCTAATGTCCATCTTCCTTGCAATAGGCACACTGATTCTTGCCCAGTTTAGGGGGCGTCCTCCTTTGGGGGGGTCCCCCTTACCTTGGTATTTTGCAATTTTCTGCAGCTGCTGTTCTCTCCCTCGGACGTCCCCGGTTGTTGAGGCGAGTAAGATTTTTGCAAGGTTCTGAGTGTTCTGGTCACTGGCTGCCACGGGTGCCTTGGCCTGTTGGTCCTCTGGACTTTCCCTGTGATTATAAACCCTCTCTGCAACTAGCATTAAATCCTGAATACTTTTTTCATTTAGTCTGTCAATTTTTTGTAACTTTCTCCTAATGTCTGAGGCTGCTTGATTCACAAAAGCCATGATCAGTGCAGCCTTAATTTCAGGTGCTTCCGGATCCATGGGGGTATATTGGCGAAATGCTTCCATTAATCTTTCTAAGAAAGCGGCAGGACTTTCATCCCTCCCTTGCTGTACATCACCTACCTTAGCCAAATTGCTGGGCTTCCTAGTGGCTGCCCTGAGACCTCCCATTAGAGTCTGATGGTACACCCGGAGTCTCTCCTTACCTTCAGTCGTGTTGTAGTCCCAATTAGGATGGGTTAAGGGGAAGGTGGTATAAATCACATCTACATTAGTAGTGGGCTGCCCGTTATCCCCCAAGACAGATTTCTGGGCTTCCATCTGGATTCGCTCACATTCCTCAGTGGTGAATAAAATCTGGAGGACCTGTTGACAATCATCCCAGGTAGGCTGATGAGTAAACAAAATAGTCTCTAGGAGGTCAGTTAAATCTCTGGGATTATTTGAGAATTTGGCATTCTGAGTTTTCCAATTGTACAGATCACTAGTGGCAAAAGGCCAATAGTGAAGTTGTTGGTTGCCGGTTGCATCAGCGGGCCCTGCGGCCCACAGTGGCAAGACTGTGGAATCTGCTGGTCCACTAAAGGGGGCTGTGTGCTGCATTCTTCCACGAGTGCCAGCCGCCGGACCTGCTACTGCTGCCATTGCCCCGCCATTGTCCGGCACTTGGGGCAGTGCACCCTCTGCAGCTGCAATACCTGCTGAAGGGGTTTGATAAGGAGGGGGAAAAAGGAGTTCTTCCTCCGTCCCACCCTGAAAGACTGGGTAGGTCGGTGCCGAAGGTTTAATTTCAGGTTCCCTCTTCCGGGCAGTATGAGTTTGTGCTGCCAGGACAGTCTTAGGTGCCTGCTTAGGAAGAGAAAGAGGTAATAACAGCTTTAACCAGGGGGGTGGCTCTTCCAATAAATCCTGCCATATGATAATATATGATCCCTGGTCCGGGTGCCCCCAGCTGGACCAGAACACAACTTCTTTCACCTTTAAAATAATCTGAAGATCGAACGTACCTTCGGCTGGCCATCCTACATTGAACGTAGGCCATTCTGAGCTACACAATGTTACAAATTTTCCTTTTTTGATTTCTAAACTCAAGTCATGTGCCTTCCTTTTAACTTCCTTGAAATTGTCAGTCAGGAGAGAAAGAGGAGTCGTCACAGTTTGTCCCATTTCGTCCATCCACTGATTAAACAAGATTACACACACTAACAAAAACCAAATAGACACACACAAAGACACACAAAATATGCCTCTCGTAGATTGGAAGCAAAACTGAAAGTAGGACGATGGCCTCACGCCGTGCTGCAGGAGCAACCCGCTTCGTCCCTTTACAGGTTCCAGATTGGAGGACGACTTTATCTCCTCCCCAGGTTGAAGGGGTTTTTTAGTCCCCTTCCAGAAGAGGCCCTGGAACGTCTTCCAGGACCTCCAGCTGACAGCCCGCCCGTGCGTCCACTTAGGCCAAAGTCAGCTTTGCAGAAAATGGGCCCCAGGTATTACACAAATACACAAATAACTAAACAAACAACTAAACACTTACCAGCTGGCTGCAACCCCCTGGTTCGGGAGTGCTGGGGTATCTGGGGATCCTGGATGAGCCCCCAAATGTTGCGCCCAGATCTTGAATCCCCAAAAAACACCAAGGAGCTGATTCCGCTGCAAAAGCATGTTGTTGTTATGTGCCCTCGAGTCAAACCCGACTCATAGCGACCCCTCCTTGGGTTTCCGAGGCAGTATCACTACGGAAGTAGGATTGCCCAACCTTTCTTCCGAGGAGTGGCTGGTGGGTTTGAACCACCAGCCGTCTGGTTAGCAGGCAAGTGTCTTAGCCACTATGCTACCAGAGCTAAGCAGAGGGGTTGTTTATTCAAGCTTGAGCTCGGACCCCCAACCGTCACTGATGCAGCGGTTCAGGATTGAGAGCACCGAACTCAGGGGTAACAGGGTTTTTATAGGGGTTATAGCAGAAATGAGGAAGTTTCAATGAGAAAATTACAGGATTGGTTGACATTTTTCAAGTTGCTAGTTGTTCCTACTTGATTGGCTCTGTCTTGGGGGCCGAAGCCGCAGACTGCCATTTCTAACTATTTTAGGTAAGGTATTTTCTTGCTATTTACTGATTGGTTGTTGCTAAGGAGTATGCTTGGGAGTATCAATGAGGTGGGGGTAGTCAGGACTCCTTGTGGTTTTTCCAGGAACTAAAGCTCTGGTAGCATAGTGGCTAAGGCACTTGACTGCTAACCAGAAGGCTGACGGTTCAAACCCACCAGCCACTCCTCGGAAGGAAGGTTGGGCAATCCTACTTCCGTAGTGATACTGCCTCGGAAACCCAAGGAGGGGTCGCTATGAGTCAGGGCTGACTCGACGGCACATAACAACAACAACAACAAAGCACTAAAGCATGATGTAAATGCTAAGGCATATTACAAAATGGCTACATACTTAAAAATGGTCACATACAGGGTAGTTATATAGAAACGTGGTCTCACAGTGGAAGGCTACAGTCTACAGCAGAGCCCTAATTCTATTTTGAGACTTGACCTAAGTTCAGATGCCATTTGAGTTCTTTCTCAACATTAAACCATCATCGTGGCTATGCTTACACAATTCTAGGATAAACCTCCAAAACCAGCTCATAGAGACCACTATTGGATTTCTAAGGCTAAATATTTACGGAAGCAGACTGCTTCATCTTCCTTCTGCAGAGCAGCTGGTGAGTTTGAACTACCAACCTTTTGGTTAGCAAATGCCTTAACCACTGCACCACCAGAGCTCTGGGGGCACCAACTTTCTGGTTACCAGTCAGATGCCTTAGGCACTATGCCACCAGAGCTCCCTGGGGAAAACCTGTTGTTGTTGTGTTGTTATGTGCCGTCGAGTCGTCCCTGACTCATAGTGACCCCTCCTTGGGTTTCTGAGGCAGTATCACTACGGAAGTAGGGAAAACCCAGAGAGTGGTAATTTGCCCTTAGAAAGAGTGTGGTTGAAAGTAGATTAGCCTCACACAAAGAGCTAGGGTACTTGTCTGAGTGTGTCCTTGTCTAATTTAAATTAAAGGTTGGGGTCCTGGTATTGTCTTGTAGCCACATAGTCATGAGTCATACCCTGACCACCATTTAATCAGGTAGTCAAGCCCCAGAACCAATCTTGTAACCCTTTTTAATCTTCACTCATGTATGTATACCAAAATAATCCTTTCCCAGATTCTGTAGTTGCGCCTGCAACACTAATGAACTGATCTGCCACCAATCATGACTTTATGATGATTTCTTTTATACTCTATCAAATACAATGAACACCATGGCTGTGATTCAGTGGACTCCATTCGGCTCTCTGTCCTCTGTACATACTAGTGGCTTCCCTCACCTTTGATGAAGGAATCTCAGATGATTGTCTTTGTCCTGTCTAAGGCTTAATAAAAGGGTCTCCATAGAACAGGCTAGGCGCTCTGGTAGCATAGTGTCTAAGGCATTTGACTACTAAGCAAAAGGCTGGCGGTTCAAATCCACTAGCCACTCCTTGGAAGGAAGATTCTTTCTTTCTTTCTTTTTTAATAGAATAGGTTAGGGAGCTTTGGTGGGTTGCTCAGTGGTTAAAGCATTTGGCTGCTAACCAGAAAGTTGGTGGTTCAACCCCACCAGCTGGTCCATGGAAGGAAGATGAGACTATCTACTTCTATAAAGATTTATAGCCTTGGAAACCCTGTGGGGTCTCTGTGAGTTGGAATTGACTCCATAGCAGTGGTTCTTTTTTTTTTTTTTAAATAGATCATGCTTGGGTCTGGGGTCTTTTTTCCCCTAGCACATTCCCCAGAGAATTTCCAAGCTGTAAATCCTTACAGGAGCAGACTGCTACATTCTTCTGAGAAGCAGCTGGTAGGTTTGAATCTCCCAACCTTTCAGTTAGCAGCCAAAATGCTTTAACCATAATTTGGCCTTCCATCAACCTGTGGCTAGGAGACCTTTTGAGATTTAAATTAGGACATAATGGTTTGATAACTACCCTTTTCTTGCTGGATCAGACAGATTTACACTGCTGTAGAGCTGGGTTAGTGGATAAGGCATTTGGCTGCTAACCAGAAAGTCAGCAGTTCAAACCCACCAGCCGCTCTGCAGAAGGCAGGCGGGGCAATCTACTTCCATAAAGATAAACGCCTTCAGAAACCCAATGGGGGTTGCTATGAGTTGGAATTGACTCGACGGCAGTGAGTTGGGTTTTTTGAGAGCAGTTTCTGACAGGCAATTTTGCAGTTTTGGTGTAGCTTTTGTAGTTAATATTTGATTTCGTGGATAAGCAAAAGCTTAAAATCAAAGTAAGATGACTGTTATTAATTTTCCTCTTCTACAGTAATATAAGTATGAGAAAGATGTCCATCCAAAATCTTTGGAATGTTAAAAAATTTTGATTCTTTAAAGGGCCATGTGCTGTAAAATCTATTTATGTGCAATGTATGTTCACTGGTTAATAAAGCCGGTGGTAAGGTGCTAAGCATGGGTCATTAATGCCCAAGGAGAGAGTCACACAGGCCTGGATGATCAGGGAAAGCTTCCCAAGGGAGGATCAGCTTGTCCTCACCATGAAAAGAGAATAGACACAGGCAGAGGACAGTGACTAGAACAGTGACTGGCCTTTTGCAATTGCTGAATAAATCTGTGCTGAGAAAATGGATTAGTAACGTTTCTGTTTGGTGTGTGGGTAAGACTGTGGAGAGAGCAGTGCTTGGGTTAGAGTCATGGGCAATGGGCAGAACAGCCCAAAACTGATTGGCTGGGATCAGAAGGCAGAGAACTTTGATTCCAACACTAGTGTTTGCATTTTTTGAACAGGCTGGCAACATGGTTAAGTGTTCACTCATCCATTCATTAATTCAAAAACAGATATTTAATACTTATGACATGCCAGACAGTCCCTCCCTGCATTGTGTAAATGCTTATAGTGCTTATAGTGGTTTAAGTGTACCCAGAGGCACCACAGAAGAAAGGCCAGACAATCTACCTCAGAATAATCAGCCGCTGGAAATCCTATGGGGCATAGTAATACTCTGATGCACATGGGATCTCCATGAGCTGAAATTGACACACATGCAACTGGTAGAATTAAAACCTCTTTAATTGGTAACACCTGTCAACATGTTAGGTAATAGGGATATATAGCTAGATAATGTAACATTACTCAATGATTCAATAATTTGTTCAACAAATATTTACTCAACACTTATGATGTGCCAGTCATTATTCTCGGCTCTGGGGATACATCAAAACTGACAAGAGTTTTCACCTGCATAGAAGTTCTGTTCTAGTGGGGAGAGTATGTGTAGTATGTCAGACTGGGATGAGTGTCAAGGAGAAAATAAAAGGGGAAAGGAGATAGGGAGTGAGGGAGGGGATGTACATTCAGTCCTGGAGGAGCCCAGATGCTACTGGATGAGACTGCCATGTAAACAAAGCCTCGCAATGGAAAAGGAGAGTGCTGTGACAGAGACCAGAGACAGGCAGGGAGCATTGTGGGCACACAGGGCCAACACTGCTCAGCTTCACCTGGACTGTGACCCTGGGACCAGAACTTGAAGGATGAGCATTTGGCAGATAAAACAGGAGGAAGCATTCTATGCAGTGACAGAGAAGTGTGACAGAGTATGTCCAGGAAGG